ACACACACACACACATATATTACATACATATATATATATATATATATATATATATATATATATATATATATATGTAGTAAAAAGCATCTGGATCTGAAGAAGGCAGAGGCGAATGTAAATTAAACCATATATACTATATCTTTTTTATATATAGTTTATTTTACATAGTATATAGTATTCCTTTCAATTTAAATGTGAGCTTTTGAGGCAGTGTGTCTCTCGTCCGGCTTATAAATGTGTGTGTGTGTGTGTGTGTGTGTGTGTGTGTGTGTGTGCGTGCGTGCGTCCGTGCGTGCGTGTGTGTAGATTTTTAATTTCTAGTGTTTTGTCAGCAGTATGGCTGATGAGATGTGTGCTGACAATAATGCTTGCTGGTCCACAGATTTTAGAAGCCATAGATGTGTGTGAAACGCCAGGCACCACTTCTAGAAACCCTGTGAGAAACATAAACTGTGCCGTTATACTCGACTCGGATGTCATCGTTATGGGAACCAACACTGGCCTTTTTGTTTTGGAGCTGACTGGCATCGGTGAGAACAGTTGTTTCACGTTTTTGTGTGTGCAACAATAATTATTGCAAGAAGATTTTTATTAAGACAATGCCGTGATGGTTATTAAAATGGAGTTTGATTATATTGGTTATTGGTATAGATTCCAATATAATTTTGATTGAATATTTTGAAATAAGATTCATTGGCTTGTACACAGTGAATTGAATTTAGATGGTGACCGAATTAAAAATTGGTCAATTCCTGCTTTAACATTAATTATCGCTGTTCAATTTTTTGTGGATAATTAGAATAATTAGAAAAGTAATATTCCAACAGCTCCCAGGAATCACAAATAAAACCTGTTACTTCTTCAGCTTACTTCAGGAGGGCAATTTTGGTTAAGAGAAATATTAAATTTCCAAAATTTTCTAATATTTAGTAAGGTGTGATTTTGTGTTACAGGTGCTACTCAGGTTGGGGAGAGCAGAACTATTCACCAGATAGAGTACATCGATGAAGGGGCTGTATTGCTAGTTATCATAGGTAATCCTATATTAATGTTATTTCTCATTTCCCATAACCAGACTATTCTATACCCAACATGCTATCAGGAATGAATAATAATAGATCTGTTAAATTCTTCTTCAAATCTATTATTATTCACTCCTGATGATATTTAGTGGTTTTGTTTTGTTTTTTGCCTTACTGGTTTCTATAATATCATCTTGCCATTCGTTTAGCAAATATAAATTTATTGTGATCTACTCTCTAAATTAACACATAATCTCCAATGGAGATATTTTCATACATGTGTAACCACTAAAGCATAGAAGCTATGTTTGTCCTATTTATTGAGCTATATGCAATAATCTGTCAACATTGCACAGGGTTTTGTGAGTGAGTAAGAATGTACGGATGGAGTGATTCTGTGATATAGGTCCAGAGAAGCAAGCTCTGCTTGTACCCGTGGTTGCACTGGAGGGATTCCGTCTGCCATGGACACCATTGCCGGGGGCTGAGGGAGTGATCGCCTGCTGTGCTGGCAAGATGAACCAGGCAACACCACCATGCGCTTTTGTTGCCATGCCCGACCAGGTATGCGCATTGCACACTAAAAACGCGTGATCAATGTAAATATGGCAACAGTAGCAGTAATAGTGGCACTGATTATAGTTCATTACTGAAATATGTGACCAGAGACCTTCGTGAAGTGTGATATCACGTCTGGCACGCAAGTGTAATCTATCCTTTCTGTACAATAATCTAATCTAAATATGCTGTTCATAAAATGTGTGATAATGTGTCTATAAGCATGCACAGTCACCTCAGTATATATAAGGATGGCTTATAGGAAACTCCAAAAGTGTTCCTTTTAGATAGGTGCCCATTCGATAGAGGGGATCACAAACACAGGTTTTACCGTATACAAATATCTGATACTCTACCATTATTTAACCTACATATGATTCACTTGCAATGCATGATACAGCACATGTATACATAATTATATAGCATTAGGCCATGCTGCACCATATAATTGAATCTATGTACCATGTGCTTACAATATATGACAGTGTGTTTACAATCATATAAACTATGATCACATACTCTACCATAATCTGTGTATCATGGTTGCTTACAATGTATGATATTTACAGGAGTGAATAATAGACATTCTAGAGAGCAATAGAGATCTCTATCATTCACTCCTGATATTTACCATCCCAACAATGTTTCTCTCATCTGTTAAACATCTGCAGGTTCTCATCTATGAGATCACACGCAGCTCAAAGCGTTTCAGACAGTTGCAAAGCATAATGCTGCCAAATGTTCCGATCTGCATGGACCTGATGGCTTCCAGGCTGTGTGTTGGCCACCTGTCTAACTTCACGCTAATATCCGTGTTTGGTGACAAACAGCAGAGTAAGCACAACTGCAATCGCATTCCACTGCTGCCATGCGATATTCCTGATCATTGGCTGGTTATCAATCTTGTGCAATGTGGCATAATTAAAGTAGACGAGTACATTACGTCTAATCAGCAACCGTGTTGTACTTAAAAATGAATAAATCCTCATTTATGTCAAATGAATAATAAATCAAGATTACAAGACGTTCTTAGAGAGTTGGATTCATAATCGAAATGTTCATCTACACGGGAAGACTAGACTTCAGTCACGACAAATTTATCCATGTAATGGTTAATTTTATAATAATAATAATTTTACGTGGAAGAACTTTATTTTAATTATTTTATGATAAATAGATTCAAAATTTTGTCTCCTGAAGAAATACGGCCAATGTTTAGTAGTATTAAATTATATAGTATGTAAGATGTACTAGATTAATGATTATCCTTGGAATTATTCATCTTTTCCTACAGGTTTAGTGAATAAAGATGACAAAAATCTGCAGTTTTTGAGAGCGACACCACACCAACCACTAGGGGCTGTCAAAGTTACACAAAGAGAGTTTCTACTCTTTTTTGACAGTAAGTCACATTGGACCTTTATAGTGCTGTCTTGCAAAACTATTGATTTTGTGTGAATAACGTTTAGGAACCTTTATGTCTTTCTATACCAGCATTGCTGAATCAACTAAATCTAGGGGTGAAAAGTCTAGAAAGACTAGTATAGGATGATTATGTTGACTATGATGTTGATGTGTATCTGTTGAGTGATAAATCTATATATCCTTTTAGCGTCTTGCAATTATTCTGTGTCTACTAGACACGATCTATAGTGATAATCTAAGTATTTTGTTAAATTTAATATGACTCAATCATGTTTTTTAATTGATTGTGCTACAGAGGTTCACTCTCTCATTTACAGGTGTGGCTATTTTCGTGGATAATTTTGGCAACAAACTTGAGCAGATGCAAAACATTGCCTACCCTTCACCACCTATTGCTATGAGTGAGTATCATGCATGCTTTAAAATTAATGACAAAACACATTATAACCATTTAAGTGTACGTGCTAGTGTGCATCCTTCAGTAAGTATATATGTGTTCAATGTGTGCACCTAACACACCTGAAAATCATAGATAACAAATTTTATTTATGTTTTAATTCTAAATCTTAATGATATAACATTGTATTTCTTTTTGACCGCATTTTTAAAATTTAATATACATAATATATGTGCCATTCAATTACAGCATCATATAATTATCTACAGGTGTTGCCCATCCATATGTGTGCCTGTATAGTGAGACTGAAATTGCTGTGTATGATGTCCAAGTCAGGAACTGGGTCCAGTATCTTCCCCTTAAAAATGTGAGTGAGTTAACTTAAAAAGCAGCAATCAAATCTTTTTGTTTGAGTAAAATTTTATTTAAACAATTACACAACAGTAGAGGTAATGTACCATACATATCTTGCATCTATGTCTAAGGGTGTGGGCGGTGTAACGAGTCTTTTGATTGTAAATTAGTAACAGGATATCTGATTTTTTTAAATGTATATCTTTCTTACAATCATTCTTACAGACAACACCCATGAACAGAGGTGGCTCTCTATGCCTGTGTAGAGAAAGTGAATTACCACGCTTGCTCTATCTACGGACTGCTACTGGCACTCCACGAACTGTTGCAGGTTTGAAAGAAGCCCCTAAATTTTTAGCTCAACTATTAATCATTAGTATGTATTCGTTTTTTTGCAGGTAGTACTATTATCTCACACATGAAACAGGTATTGCAAGGTATTTCAACATGGACCAGCTTTAATAATAATCTTGCTTAATATGTATGAAATATTGGCACTAGTAGAGAACATATAAAAGGATGCATAGTCTTGATCACAGGTACATATTTGAAATGGATTTCAATCTTTTGCTTTGCAGTAGAGAAAGAAAAAGAGCTCCACGTTCCAAAAGACACACCAACGGAATGGCGCGATTGGGTCAAACGCAAGATGGACGACCTTGAGCGGCGTATGGAGGCACCAAAAACTCCCACCAGACAACTGTTAGTTGCATCTTTTAACACAAACCGAATTTGCCTCTGATATATCTATATATATATAAAGTTGTTCAGCTGAATTATTTCGTACTCGCATAACTAGAGAACTCCGCAGCCGTCAGAATCAGCTCGTCTGGGAGGTGGTTCTGGGTGAAACAAAAATGTTAAAAAGTTAAAAAGTTAAAAATTCATAAAAATTCTATTCATCAATAGGCGGTGCGTACAGATTAACATCACGTACGTGTGAATCCATGGGGTATACCCTAAACGGCGCAGTGGCCTAATCGCTAGAACATCTGTCTCCTACACCGGTATTCCGGGTTCGAGTCCCAGCTGGGGAACAGCAGGGCTTTTCCCCTTTTTTTCCCTTTACCTACCTCTTTAGTATGTAGTACGTGCATGTATCCGCGTGTGCGTGTGTGCATGCGTGCATCATGTGCGCACGTGCGTGTGTGTGGGTATTTCAGTTTGTATGTGCGCGCGCGTTCATGCATGTGTGCATCATGTGTGCGCGTGTGTGTATATGGGTGTTTGAGTTTGTATGTGCGCGCATGCGTGCCGACATGCGTTCGGGCATGCATGAGTGTGTGCCTGTATGTGCTCGTACGTGCAAGTGCGTGAGTGAGTGCGTGCGTGCGTCATGTGTGCGCGCGTGTGTGTATGTGTGTTTGAGTTTGTATGTGCGTGCGTGCGTTTATGTGTGCCGGCATGCGTTCGGGCATGCGTGCGTGTGTGCCTGTATGTGCGCGTACGTGCAAGTGTGCGTGAGTGAGTGCGTGCGTGCGTCATGTGTGCGTGCGTGTGTGTATGGGTGTTTGAGTTTGTATGTGCGTGCGCGCGTGCATGCATGCCGACCTGCGTTCGGGCATGCGTGCGTGTGTGCCTGTATGTGCTTGATTGCGTGAGTGAGTGTGTGTGTGCGTGTGTGTAGGCGTGCGTGCGTACGTGTGTGGATGGCATGACTACTCTCTCGTCCTCCCTCTCTCCCATACCTCTATCTCAAATCGACTTGTGTACTTTAGAACTACATGTTGATGGAATACGTGGCGAATAGGTAGTGAGATGGCACTATAAAAGCACTTTTAAAGATTAGATTAGGTAATACATAAAAACCACAAAAGCATGCAACAACACATATAATAAGAAAATCGTACTTTAGTAATGACAAGTCCGTACTAACTTTGGTAATATACGACCAACATTCGACTTGGGGGAGCATATTCCATTCTCAACTGAAGTTGGATGGCTAACTACGTAAAGGTCACTTGATGGGTACACATCAATAAATAGGTAATGGTAGGAAATTAATCACAATGCCCAACGGCACTTGCTTATATAAAACAAAAGTTGTAGATTTGTGTCCACGTTGTACCAATATGCGGCTTATATCGTTTTTAAAATACACTGATGACTGACATGTTTGGCTCCAAGATTATTAGTCTTGCGTTTAGAAATAACGCAACTGTGATATACACACTGCAGGTCATATTAAATTGTTGTTGCCTCTAAATACAATTGTTTGGATAAAATGTCTGTTTTCAAATTTCATAAAAGCATCAGCTGAACAATGAGGTAACTAGAGTTGAAATACTTCTAAATATCATTAACCTAATTTAAGTCAATTTTATCAATTTTATAGTACAGAATGTAGGCATACTTGTGTACATACATGTTTGTTGTTTGGTATCAGCTGTTTGAAAGTATATAACGTGTGGAATGCATATCTTAGAATAGAAAGCATCCACCATCGTGCTGATAGTTATCCTGCTGTAATCGTACGTGCCCAGTAATGTTTCAGTGATCATTTTTGTCCTGCCCAAATTGTTACCAATCGGTCATGATACAGTATGTTACTGTATACGCCATATTTTTCGCGTACCTACAGATGTTTTTTGCGAATTCAGACTTGAAGGACAATTTCGCAGTCGGTGAATTATGAATTATGCGGTATAATTATTCGATATGAATTCTTCGCGTGTTGTTATTTTCACGGTCAGGGACGCATTCGCGAAATTCGCGAAAATTAAACCACCGCGAAATATACAGCGTATACAGTACTGCACGATGCAGGACGAACCCCAGGGACACGCACACGTGACTACAGTACAACACACCTGCGACTAGTTCCACATTCCCGGTCGATCTCCACCCTTCTTGTTGCCCTGCTGTTCGAAGAACATGAAATCTATGAGAAATGTCGCTCCCAGCAGAGTGGCCTTCACGTTCACATCCAAGTCCATGGGGAACTGAATCCCAAAGTTGTCGCTGTCGGTGAATGTCTCCTTCAGCATGCCCGACCACTGCTTTGATATTCTGCCCACCTGCGTAAGCAAGGCAAAAGATTAGTAATGGTGACGACTGACGGATGAATGCTTGCCAGGCTGATCATAAACCATGGAGTACACACGGGAAAGGTTTTTATTGAAGTTTTATATATATTTTTTTAAAATCTTTTACAGTAGACTACAATCTTTGCGAATGCTAATCTACACATGCTAATTCTTGCATTTTAGTGCAAACGAAAAATTGTCAAAAAAATTTGTCTAAAAATTTTCTTCAAGCTTTAGTCCACTGACTACGATCTTAGTAAAAACATGCTAATTCTTGCACTTTAGTGCGAACTCGCGAATATCTTGCAGGTGGCCCCACCTGGTGATTGCCGTCGGCAGAGGAGACGTTGAACTCGACGTCGCCGCAACAGCTAAACGTGCAGAACGGCCCGCTAATGCGCAGTATCGTGTCGCCGGCCGCGTTCTTGATGCGGAACTTCGGCACGAACACCGACCACTCCTGCTCCACGTAGCCAATGATGGTGCCCGGTGGCGACGACACCTGCGCAGTAAGGCCAAGGAGGGGTGAACGCGCGCAGTCGTGAAGACTGGTTGTAGTAAGACGTGAATACGTGTTGTAGTAAGACGTGAATACGTGTTGTAGTAAGACGTGAATACGTGTTGTAGTAAGATGGTGCTTTAGCTGTAATTAACATATAATCATCCACCCCACAAGAAAATTAATTGCATGCAAATGCCACCAGGGTAACAGAGTAACGTGTAAAGATTTACAGCACTGACACAATAATAGGCACAATGTTGGCATAATAGACGAATTTTCACAGAAAGATCTTGCCGGGTAACAGCAAAGGAAAAATACATGCATTACGATAACATAAGGAAATGAAGATAATGCTGGATATGAGAATTGATCTTTTTTATATGGATACCTAATATAGATATGAAGAGATTTTATGCCGTCAAAGAGCGTATATGTGTGCTGTTGGTGAAATATTATTACAATGGCTTTGCAGAGGATGTCGAGTATCAGAAACCAAAGCTCAAGATCATTTGATGAGGATGAGGCAAGATATCACAGAGATGGTCGTGATCACAGCCCTTCATCCCGCTTCTCTGAATTCACGGATAGAATTAGGAAGGACTTTTTCGATTTCTGAATTCCCATGGAACTGAAACACTTTTCGAGCTTATAGCTCTGGCAATTAGTGACATACTGACTGGCAGCTATGTAGCATGAGGCTTGTGCATCTTTGACATACATCAACTTAATGTGATTATTGAACAGAGATGACTATTATATATTAAATGTATTTATTATGTTTAGCGGAGATCTTGTACTTAGGTAAGTATGTGCGTGTGAACCTATATGGTGTTATCAGGAGACTGAATAATAATAGATTATTAAATTAACAGAAATTATAACCTATTATTATTCACTCCTGATGTTATCAATGGTCTCGCGATGACCTGGCCAATTGCTTAATTAGGACTGCAGTTGGCAGATGAATTCTCAGCAAAAACGATATATTATTCTGACTGTACTAGACTTACACCCATCCAGTTCTGTGAACTCGTTGTTACTAATGCTAGTTTGTAACTGCTTCATGATTCATTTACCATGTCTGTGTACTGTTGTGTGACTGTTTACAAATTGCTGTAAACCGAGTGTGTTGTGCATTTGCATACATTGAAAAACAGTTAAAACATTGGATAATAAATGCAAACATCAGTTTAAAAAACTGTCCAGTGTTCAAGAAGTAACTTTCCATACAATAATTAATAGCATTTATGTCATGGAATATAGGATAGAGTTTGGATGTTGAAGTGGGATTTAAATTAATATTCGACTTGATGTAATATTAAAAACACCTGTGGGTTTTTTAAACAATGGAAAAGACCACAACTTAAATGGTTTGAGCATTCGTCATCCAGCATAAGTTTACACGTGATTGTGTAGATAAATAATGGTTGGTACATCATTTTGTACGTGATCACATTACATTACTACGCCGTAATTAATATGTAATAAAATAAATCCGTGAATGTAGGTAGAACTAGCCTATTTTAAAAATAATTCTGCAAACACAAAAAATTAACATTATTCCATATATTTTCACTATTCAACAACACCATTGTTGAAACAATTGTCACAGTTATAGAACACATGCAGAACAACGACTTTATGATAAAATACAAACACAAACTATTTGCTGACTAGCATTGCTGATTTAATTGGGTAGCCTAGTTGCAAACGTCAGATCATCTATACACGTCTATACCAGGGAAAAAAATACAATTTATTTTTCGGGGGCTACTTTTCAAGCTCGCGTGCATGAAAATAGCACTCTAAAATTTGGTTTGCATTGAACTTTATGCAAATTTACGGGGGCTCTTTTTGGCATTTCGGGGGCTAAATCGCCCCGAGCCCCCGTGAATTTTTTTCACTGGTCTATACATGACACATCTCTGGTACATTACTTCAGTTATTTCCCCGTAACTCCAGTTTCAACATATCAGGACCAAGTGCTTATCGCAGTGACATTTACCTTCGTCATAATTTACATATTTGCACAGCTAGAACGGTATACAAATGTTGTTTGCTTTCAGCAAGAGCCTTACCCAGACACAACACACGCCCGGCATTTTCTTTCAGCATTTATTAACCTGCACGCGTAAAAAAAACGAATATAGATGACATAGATGGAGTGAAGTATTTTCATGTAAAAACATTGGATCTGTTGCAACCGATTATGTTGCTGAAAACTTACAAAAGTCCTGGACTCTTTAGACCTAAATTTGCTTATGGATGTAGTTATTGACCAGATATACATGTGTCAATAGCATGTACGAATTTTTCTTCAAATTCATTAATAAAATAGATAACATCTATAATTACGTATATTCAGACAAAAATCACTGATTAGGAGCTGGGACCTAGAAAAATATTTCGTAAAAAATGGGTAAATTCCACAAGGTTTCCATTTAAGGCAGCTAAGTATGTGCGTGCGTGCGTGCATGTGTGCCGACATGCGTTCGGACATGCGTGCATGTGTGCCTGTATGTGCGCGTACGTGTAAGTGTGCGCGCGTGTGTGTATGGGTGTTTGAGTTTGTATGTGCATGCGTGCGTGTGTGCCTGTATGTGCTTGAGTGTGTGTGTGCGTGTGTGTAGGCGTGCGTGCGTACGTGCGTCGATGGCATGACTACTCTCTCTTCCTCCCTCTCTCCCATACCTCTATCTCCATCTACGTCTCTCTTCCTCCCTCTCTCCCATACCTCAATCTCCATCTACGTCTCTCTTCCTCCCTCTCTCCCATACCTCAATCTCCATCGATTGCCTTGTGCAGAATTAAATGGAAAAAGGAACTACAATTAACGTGTGGCCTTTGGCGTGAGAAGTACGTCGACTGCGTGCCTTCAAAATAGGACGTTCCATATGGGAAGCATAGCACTAGCAGTAACAACTACACCCAATTTCAAACATGTGGGTCAAATGGTTGCTGATTTATCGTTGACGACTAAACCAAATGTTTGACGGACGGACGGACGATGTACGACGGACGACGACCCATGGCAATAGCTCAAGCTTGACGATGTCAAGGTGAGCCTAAAATGAAGTAGTTTCTATCAACAACAAATGCACAGGAAGTGGCCGATTATAAAAAGGATTGTATGGTATAGAATAGCATACCCAAGGCCATAAATAAAATAAAAATTGTTTGTCTGCCCTCACCCGACAGACCCGCCAAAAAGGGGCCGACGCAAAATTTTTTATTGATCTTTCCCATTAAT